AAAAAAAAAAAAGGAACAGAAAAATGGCGTGTATGCACGATCACAGCTGTGAAGAGCACGACTGCTCCTCCGATTGGTCGCTCTACAGGCACATAGATCTCTCCAAGGTTTCCCCTATTCTGCTCTACCGTGATGTAAATTCTAATATATGAACGTTTAATTTGCGTATTCAGTTCTTGCTGTTATGTCTTTTGCATAATTTTGTGGAGAATCTCGTTTCTCTATCATTTGTGGTGTTTTGGGGGAGCTTAATTTTTTTTCCAACAGTCAGTTTCTAAATATATACTGGGCTTCAGTTAGATATCTATCTCGAATGCTAAGATAATGACTTGAGATGCTCAATTTTTGTTGAGTGCGAGTTGTGCTGATAGAGCCTGTTTGTTCCATGAGATTTGTATTGTGCCTTGTTTGTGGTTTAAGCCTTTGGCTTCTGTTGATCAGTATGATTCATTTGTAGGTATTTCTATTCCACACATTATAGTTACAACTTACAACATAGATTTGTATCCTGCTGCTTTCATGTTTGAATGCGAAATGTAGTTTCAACGGAATCTGTGAAAAAATGTACAGGATTCTATTTGCCTTTTCTATAAGATGATGTAAAGCAGTGTTTAAGGATGCGCTGGGCTTGTTTGTATCCATATGATACATAAACTAAATGCATTATGCGTTTTTAGCAAATTCTAAGTGATAGCTTTTGTCATCTTAAGGTATGTGCATTGAACGAGGCTGTTTCTGGAAGTGTGAAGTCGGTATTCAGAGCTTGGGAGCAGCGTCTTAACTCTGCCGAGGTTTTCTACGAAAGTGATCTCCTCTGTTTTTTCTTTTTTTATTTGTTTCTTGTCGAGTTTTGGTTGTTTTTATTGTCAAATCAATGTACATAAATTTGTGCAGACATTTTTTTGTGTGTTAATTTGTGTTTGGGGCTGCAGACAGGTGTTGGCATCTTCCTTTTGTGCTTTTTTTTTTTCGGGAATACTAGCATTCGAGTTATCACATTTCAATTACAAGTTATTGGCTCTGGAGCTTTTGCTTATCATTTAATTCAGTAGTCAAATTTGACCGTGTCTGCACTAGCTGTGTTGATTTTAATATATATTCGCTCAAAGGAAATACTATCCCAAATGTCAGGAAGAAGTATCACGCGAGCGAAACTATTACTGATGCTTCCTGAATGTGATTGTCATCTTTCTTATCTAATGTCACTAAGCATTCGAATTTTGTCTCAACTGTCTCAGGGTCACTTGGAAAGCAATGACGGTGATCCTGAGTTGATAGTCTTTATTCCGTAAGTATTAAACCTGTCTTAGTCCTTCATTCGACCATAGTGTGTTCCATTTTTTCTTTCCTGTTGATAAATAAATAGTCAAATAATACCAATAGGCAATGGAGCTACTTTTGTCTGTTGTGTCACAAAAAGGCCTTTATATGGTTAAGTTACTTTTGAGTTTTGAACTAACCAAATGTTGTTCCAAACACTCTATGACATGTGAGGCTTTCAGATCTGATTTGGTGGCTGTTTCATTTTGTGCTTTGCTGTGAAAGATATTCTATGATGTGTAGCCCGAGTAACAATTTCTAACGAAAAGAAGAAACATCTACTGATTCTTGAGTTATGAAATTCAGGACCAAGTACTTGTTTTTCAATAAAATTCTTATCTTAAGCTCATTGTCTTTGATTTGGCACTCTGTTTATTGAAAATTTCTATGTGTTAACTAAATTTTCCATTCATCTATGTAGATTTACATCAGATGTGAAGATCAAGAGCATTTCAGTTGTTGGTGGAACTGATGGGACAAGTCCTGCAAAGATGAGAGCGTGAGTTCTAATTATGATTCTGTTTTTTTCATTTTCCTTTATCTGATGATATTTATCCTTGGTTTTGTTATCAAATGTTACTAAGCTTAGAGTATATCAACTATCAGCTCAAAATTAACTCCAAATATACCCAAAATTATTTTTATGCTTGATTTTGATGTCTTTGGTATCCCATTTTGTTAAGATCCATGACTACCACTTTCCTTTTCTTTTCCTTTTACTGCTTTAATTTTTATTTTCTGCCAATCGTAGATTCATCAATCGGGAAGGAATTGATTTTTCAGATGCTCAAAACATGCAAGCTGTCCAGGTTTGCTGGCATTGTAGCTTTTTCAGGGGATTGTATAACTGTTCAGTTGAATGATTTATTTGATCATCTTAGGAGTGGGAATTAGCGGAAAATTTGCACGGAGTCCTAGAATACCAGACCAGGTGATGTTACCTGGCCTAAAGTTTACTTTTGTATTATCTGCATCCTATCCAGTGTTCTTAGATTTAACTAATACCCTTTTTTATATAGAGATGAGAACTGGATGAAGATGCCACATTTGTGTTAAAAACATCTAATTCTGATCTCTATAATTTTGTCTCGGTCTTTGGTTTTTTCACTTCTTAATAACGTAATCAAGTAATCAACAGATATTCAAAATTTCAAAGTGTTGGAAACATCACTCTGCATTTCCCAGATAACTTTGGAGGCGATACAACTCAGATACATTACATTGGGTTGAAAGGAACAGCAACTGAGGTACTTTTAGGTGTAAAATCAATGTCCATTCTACCGTTGCTCTTTTACTAATTCTAATTTAAATATCTTGCAGCTGAAAAGGGATGTTGTTGCCACAATTGTGTATGAGCTCATGCCCAATCCTTCAGATCACAAGTGAGTTTTCAATGTCAATTTGTCATAAACTTTGTCTTGCGTATGTTGCTTGAGATATAATTAGTGTTGATAATAATTTCAACTCACGTGTGAATTTCACCCAGTTACAGAAAAACTCACCCCATTAATCACAAAATAAGCCCTTGAAAGTGTGTTATTTAAATGCGTCCTTGAATATTGCACTTACCTCTTACTGGTGAAATTTGTATATTTAATCAAATTCCAGCTAGGTGTGTGTAATTTCAAAACAAGCAAAACTAGAGTTTTTTTTTCTTTCTTTGTGTCTATAATTTATTGGAAGATCGAACCTGTTTATTTGCGATTCACCACTTGGTTTTTCGAGTATTAGGGAATGTTAGTTTCAACAGAGCTAAATGTTTGTTTTGGATCATTTACAAGTGACTGTAATTAATTGCTGATTCATGTAAAAAATGCTTTTGTATACACAGAACCCGGTCGGAGACAGGGGGTGGCCTCTCACAGGTAGAGTAAGTGGATTTGAAATGGATTACATAGCTGGGGCTTCCTCTCTAACTGGGTTTTGATGTTACAAAAAAAATCATGTCATGAGATAATGTACTGCTCTTTGTAACTTCAGAATTATCGCATTGTCTTCGAGAAAACGCTCAATGTATGTGCCTTCTTTAGACCATCGCATCTCAAATGCTTTCTTGAAGTTATAACTCAAAATTCTGGATGTCATTGCCTCATTTTTCTTTTAAAATTTTGTCAAATTCTGTCGGTTTTTACAATGTTGATAACTTTGCTAAGCTGAGTAATAAAGTCGAACGTCGTTAAAGATAAGGTGCAATTGTCAATTGTCATTGACCCTGAGATGAATTGTTGAAGAGTTACTATGTTGCCACAAATGTGATTTGCCTTCTAATTATCTATCTATGGCACTGGTGCACAATTTTTATTAAGGTAATTATAGCCATGGTGCTGCAAAAATTCCAAAGAATCAAAGCGAACGTTTTCATTATTTATTAATTTTCCTGTGTCAAACTATCATATGGAGCATTATTCATTTGGAATGGATACTTTTAGCTATTAGTATGTACAACACTGGAAATAAAATATATATAAATTTTGATTGTATAAATAAATTAAGGTTGATGCAACGTCTAACGTTGTTTATCATAAATAAAATTACGAAGCATTTACAAAATTACAAAAAAAAAAAAAAAAAAAAAGTATATCACCATAAAGGTAATAATTTGTTGATGTTGTCTGATAAAAGTTATGATATTCTTCAGTGAGCATGGAGTTGCTTACCAGGTTCTTGAAGTCGATGTTTTTTTGTTGGTTGGAGTGAACCATTGTTTTATACTAGAGAACCTAGCCCCAATTTAAGATCATTTTTAGGGGTAACATAACTTTGAAGACTCCACTAGACATTTAGTGGTTTTTTTTTCTTCTCCAAAACGATAAAGATATTATATACTTAAATCCGCACAAAATGCAAAGAGGAAATAGCCAAAAGCTGAAAGATACAACCAAATGCTGAAAAGACCGAGACGACATTCGAAGATCGCCTAGAGTCTAAACTAGCAACGCTAGAAGAACACACTCACGACAACACAGAACACGAAAAGAAAAACTACTAACTCCCAAGTAGGAAACAAACGATCGCAACAGGATAAAACCCCAGTGAAACGACCCCAACATGATAATGCACGCTCACTCGAGCAGAAACAGGAGCCAACGACCCAAACTCAAAAAACAAATCCTATCAAACAAAGCAAACAAACACATGTAAAACAAAACAAAACAATTATAAATAACAAAAAACCCTTCCTCAGCAAATCGACCGAACAAAGCCGGTGGAAAAATTGCCGAAACTGCCGAAAGGCCACTAAAGCGGAAACCTAGCATGTAGGTTTGATCAGTAGTCTTTCTTGGTATTGGTTACTAGTTTTCTAGTTTGGGGTATCAAATCTATGTGGGACCCACGCAGTGGTTGAAGCAATTTTCTTGTCGAGCTTGGGCAGTAGTGAATCTGCCTCACCATTGCTCCGTGCTGTTCTTATTACATAATGATGAATTCTATTGTATATTGCAGTTGGATCTGGATTCAAGGAAATGCTACTATTTTCCATGATCCAAAACATGAAGCCTGACATGAGACCCAAAACATAAAACATGACCACGATCCAAAACATGAAGCCTGACATGAGACCCAAAACATAGAACATGACCACAACCCGACTCGGCCAATGCAACCCATCCCCATCAACCCGACCACCAATCATGAGTCAGTTCAGATTGGATAAATGCGTGCACAGATTAGCTTCATGTACTACCTGTCTAGTTTCTACCAGTTCTCCACAAGTTCAAAGGACTACGAATACTGAAAGCCAAAAGCCACACTGACAGCCACTGAAACAATGACAACATCCAGCAACAGCAAAACTCGGGTAATTCCCAACAGAGTTGATGCAAATTCAATATCCAAAATGACAGCACACTAACAAACAAAAACATATCGGTGAAACACACACAAGCATCCAAAATCAAAATGCATCAGAAACTACAAACCTAAATTACCTATTAAAAAAAAAAAAAAAAAGCAATAACCCCAACGGCCCAACCCAACTAACTAGGTGGTGAGGCTTTGGCAGACCCAGCACTCGGCTGGGATGGCTCGGCCCCTGCACTTGCATCAGTAGAGTAAGCCGGTTGAGAATAGCCACCACCATACGGCTGCTGCCCATATCCAGATTGACCCGACCCGTAACCTGACTGGGACTGTGGATAGCCATAAGTCGGAGGCCTCTGTGCAGCGGCAGTGGCATCCGTCTGAGAATGAGGGTACCCAGACTGAGCATAGCCACCGCCCCACTGCCCATAGCTCGGCTGACCTCCGCTTGGCTTCTGGGCCTGTGGGGCACTAAAACCGGAAGTCGGTTGAGGAGTTCCATACCCACCCTGTGAAGTTGGAGGTGGGGGCCCATATCCAGAGCCTTGATGAGGCTGGCCTGGGTTTGTTGCATCCCCATATGAAGGAGTGCTGCCATCAGCATTTGCAATATAGCCTCCTCCCTGTTGCTGCTCATCATATCCAGCACTAGGGTTTGGAGGTGGCTGGCTGTACCCGGCTGTGCCCGAATTGTATCCACCATAGCCATCTGGACCGTAGCCGCCCTGTCCCTGGCTGTAGGCTTGGGCCTGCCCGTAATTATAGGCAGAACCATCAGTTGGGCCCCCATGACCGTAATTATAGTTAGAACCTCCCTGCGGGTTTTGAGGAGCAACCGACTGATCCCACCCAGATGTGGGAGGGTAACCGGGGTAATTTGGTTGGTTCATGTTGTACTGTGGCTGGCCTGGGTATGTACCGGGCTGGCCATAGCCATAGCTTGGTTGCTGCATGGGTGGGCCCTGCTGGTTCCAGTTGGTCAGAGGCCGAGTTTGGTAGGCTTGCTGAGGATTATTATATCCTCCACCCATTGGTTGATTTCGCATGCGGTTCTGCACCAAATTATTTTTTTTCAGAAATGAATCTATATAACTGATTCATTCAATGAATCACTTACACTGATGATGTGCATAGAGGAAAAAATATAATGTAAAGAAAAAGACAGAAGGCCAAACAGAAATATTGAGAAACACAAATTACAGAAATAATCTTTCATATGCCAACACATAAACACTCAGAAAAATACAGTTCCATCAAGACAGAGATTAACGCCCACATACCGTAATAGTGAGATTGTGTTACCGCTTAACTCCTGCAGATGCTCATCCATCTCCCTATTCGGAAAGTGGATGCGTACAAAAAGAAACAGAAAATAGCAACATACTGTTTCATCTATAGATGCCAATAATAATTGGTGAAGGTCGATCTGCAGTATCTTATAGCGGTATCATGTTCAAAGGAAATCAAAATGTTCAGGGGACCAAGTGATAGATCCACTAATAATGCAAGAACATTATCTTATTAGGGGTTAGTAAAGTTCTCTGCATTAAAGCTCACTTTCTATCATTCAGATTCCTCTAAGCTGTAGCCATAATCCATTGCATGAAGAGTTAAAATCATACCAGAGTGGTGCCCAGTAAACACCAACATGAAACAAGCCCATGTTGGTGTCACCAAGTCTCCAACATCTTCTAACCCCTACAACGGCCCCCATAAAGACCATCAGTCACCAGATATAAATTTTGACCCATCATATCCACACCAAAGGTGAAAATCTAAAAAGAATCACTTTACTATAGGACTAATGTTCATTATGTATGTCACGATAATTTCTTAGTATTATAAGAAACTTCATATGCTGCTTAGTCACCTCAACAGAGAGAATCCATGCAAAACCTGCCTCATAGGAATAAAAAATATCCAGTATCTATTAACAAGCTAACATGGACAGGTAACAAACCAGGATTTCAAGGGCAACTTTAAGTACTAATAAAACCCAAAGAATATCGAGTTGCAATACTGCAATTGAAATTAACAAGGAAATGGAACCCCATTCTGTATACTAGAAAGTAAGAAAATGGCCAAACCAGATGCCAAGCAGTTACCCACTCCTTGCAAAAAAAGCAGCAAAGGCTGAACGCTTCCATCTGGGGATCATTTTGACTAGGGACGTAGATCTGCACATCTATTGTTCACAAATGGCAAAGGGGGAAGGCAGATACAAAGTTCACATAGTTCACAGATAGAGAATAGTTGAAACTAACTTCAAGTGGAAAAATAATGGCTCAACTTATGAATACATACAAGTCAAATATGATCATGTAACAAACACAACCAAACACATCAGACGCAGAACATAATATCACATCTGCATATGTTTGAATGTTCAAAGAGTAGTTGTTTCCAAGTGAGAGCAGAGCTTGAAGAAAACAAGTTGAGATTAAAAGTTATCTCTAATATATTGGAGTATAGCAAGACTTTATACAACACATCAAACGATATGAATAAGTGAGTAGCAACCATCTAACAAACCTCACTGGTGACTTCTTCGACCAACTGTTTTGCGGCTTCAATCTGTTCTCTAGTTCCATCAATCTGTACCGTTCTTTCTTTTGACATATCACCAGGTGGCAAGTGCAGAGGAATGACCTGTAATATTTGATGAAGAACTTCAATCATAAAGTTGCAACGATTAAAATAAGTGCTATGCAGAAAACTACGAATAGAAATACTCTAAATACATCTCCATGAACTCATATATTAAGAGTATAGACAGAAATACCTGAATACGAGCACCAGTCCTTGCTTGCATATTTTTAATAGTTTCACCTCCTTTACCAATAACAAGTCCAACCTGAAAGCAGCTACTGATTGTACCAAAAGTTCTATAGATAGAAAAGATCATAGCCAACAACCACTTCTAAAGTACCTTATTGTTAGGGACCATCATAACAAACTGATCAGCTCCGGCTGATTGCCCACCCAGCCTCCTAGAAATTATGCCAGAACCACCAGTATCAGCCTGTCCAATCAACAAGCAACTGTCAGCATAACAGAAGTTTATAACTGTCATTGCATAGTTCCTTTTTTTTTTAACAAACTTCCTTCACCAGAGTGCTGAACAGAAAATATAATTATTAGCACAACACGCAAGTTATATATAATGCCTCCTGAACATATAAAATAAGAATAATCATCCGCATATAAGCAACATGTATTCAGTAGACTGCAATTATTTGAAGTACCTCCGAAAGAATATCATTGATCAATTTCTCTGCCTTGGCTATTTGATCCTGAGTACCAGTGATTTCAACAGCTCTAGTGGCAGCATTAGGGTCTGCATCCACATCTCTTGTGACCTGGATCTTTGCTCCTGACTGAGTTTGAAGGTATTTGATAGTTTCCCCACCTTTTCCTATAATGACACCAACCCTTCCATTTGGCACCTCAATTTTCTTGCTTGGACCTGGGTAGCCATATGATGCGCTTGGCGGTGGACCACTAAGACCCAACCCAAGATGCTTCTGACCACTACCTGCATATACAAAATACATAAGTTCCATCACCACCCATTGTTTCAAATCAAGATGTGACAAGCATAAACATCTACACAATATATAACAAAACACATAATATATTACCAATGAGGATATATAACAACCTAACATATACTTGTAAACAATTATAACAACCAAAGAACATTATATTCACAACCACAGAAACAAAAATCATCAAACCTACAACCAAACTGAGCATCAGAAATCACCACTGAACAATTGAGAAACGACTCTCCAATAAACTACCATTATCGTCAAGCACTGATAACAATTAAGACATAAAGTTTATAAACCCATTCGAACTATGATGTTTGCATAACATCGGACAAACAACTGGAAACCACAAGCAACGCATAGTCTGATCTATTGCTAATAAAACAGAAAAGAATCCACCACAGGCCAAATAACGAATCCCAAACCTGCATCGACAGCTTCGTATCCGCCACCAACGCCAGCTCCGTTCTCAACTCTCGCTCTTTTCGATGGGTCGGCGTTATTCAAGAGCCTCGCTGCGATCTCCTGTGCCTTCTGTTTGGCTGCCTCGATCTCGTTCATCGGCGGCGGGACGCTGTTGTAAGAAGTAGGCGGCGGGGCGGAGTCAAGAGGCGACGAGAATCCCGTCACCCTGCGCGCCACCGGAGACGGCGGGTCCTCATACTTGCGCTTGTTCGAATCGCCTCCTGCGGCCCCGTAAGCGACTTCGTCTGCCATGGTTCGAATCGGCTGAAGCGGGATTATAATCGGCAGAATGTACTCGTGATAAGAGAGGGTTGTAGAAACCCTAGATTTAAGAGCAAGTGGAGAATTAGATAAGATGGCGTACAGTTATTTATACGGGCTAGGCCGACTCTGTAGAGATATTTTTCGGGGAGGGTTTTTTCTATTAAAATAAAAGAAAAAAAAAAAGTAAATAATTATACGCAACTTGAATTTGGCTTTTGCAACTTAAATATTTTTTGAATGAAATTGCAACATTTAAGACACAATTTGTTTGTATCGCAATCTCCGACCATCAGTGAATTATTTTTGATCGAAAAAACAAGCATGGGAGTCGCGCGCTCAAAACTTGAGGCTAAAATTGTCATTTCATCTTTCCGGCTGCCGGTCTCCCTCCAGATTCAATTAGGACAAACACCACAAAAATTCAAATTGAATTACACTTAGCATAAATTAGGGTTCATCTACAAAAAAAAATAAAAAAAAAAAATCTGCAAAAATTTAAGGCAAACACTTTACAAATTCAAATTGATCACAAATTTGATGGTTTGAAAACTACGAACCAATGATGAGAACTGTCAACAACCGACTTCGCTCACACCCCAAGACGAAAGTTATCAAGATAATTGCGCCATACTCGCTCTGATATTAAAAATAAATCATCTCGGAATAAAGCTTCATCTCGGTCAATGAGTAAACCGACCCCCTAACGAATTTCTGAATCCTTCATTTGCAAACCGAGTACCGACTTCGTCAAATCCCGAAGTTGGTGACTAAGCGTGATTCTGATTAGACCGAGACTGAATATGTAATCATTACAATCTCATTGACGATTGGGCCACCGCTTCAAAAAGGTTTATTACATTTAATGTGATCTTATCTACCTCGTACAAAAAGTCAAAGCTACCGCAACTATAAATAGCAGAATTTGCTGTAATAAAAGGGATCGGATTCTCAAAACTCGGATGTATATCTTAGTTAAAACATAGACCGACATCTTGTACTCAACTCATATATATCAAATTAATACAAAACCTCAGCCTTTCTCGTTTTAATTACTTTATATTGTAGTTGTTAAATTTTGCATAACAACAAGAACATACCACTCGAAAAACTGTGTCCAGATTACACTTCGTTTTGGAACCTTAATTTATGTTGAATTTAGCCCAATTTTTTGAATTGTGAACATGTTTGTGTGATTATGTGGTCCCATTTTGAATGTGGCGATAGTCAATGAATTATTCAAATATGAACATGTGAACGTCTTTTGAAATGTGGTCCTTTTTTTAAAAAATGATATATTAGTTTAATTTTTTATTGAACTTTTTATTTAATTTGATGTCTAGGACCAAGATATTGATTTGTGTAATATTCGTGTCTCATTAAGGTCTTAGTTCACAAGTTTTTACCATTTTATTACATTATGGTGGAAGATTTGTGGAACTCGGTGACAATGTTACATAGGTGAGCACATGACAGTAAGTCACATTGACTATTGTGACCCTGGTGAACTCTCACTCATTGAAATATTTTGTATAGCTTCTGAAGCTGGGGGCAGAAGGCCAGTGACGGATCTAGAAATTTTATAGAGGGGGGCCCAAAATAATAATAACAAAAAAAAAATATTAATTGTAAAAATAAATAAATTAGGCAAGCACCGACTAAATAAACATAGTATATATATCCGAGTACTCAAGTCAAGAAAATAACTTACAATAATACTGAGATATCACAACATTTCTCTTCTATTTTTCATGTTTTGAAATCGTTGCATGATAGTATCATTGCTAACATTCCGAAATATATCTTTCTCGATGTATGCCATTAAACAATCATTCAAAAGTTCATCACCCATTCGGTTGCACAGTGTACTTTTGATGATTTTCATTGCCGAAAAAGCTCTTTCCACTGTAGCAGTGGCAACGGGTAAAATCAATAACAACTTAATCAACAAGTAAACCAATGGAAAAATATCATGTTTTCTTTTAGACACCATCTTTTGAGCAAGATCTCCAATATTGGCTACATTCGAGAAGTCTTCATCTAAGCGCATATCAAAAACAAAATTCTCGAGCTAATTTTCAAGTTCATGTAAAGCAACTGTAGAAAACTCTGATGGATAAAATTCTGCAAGACGGAGCAATTTTCTTTTATCAAATGTAGAAAATGAGAGTCTCTTGGATCAAAGCATACCATTGACAAGAGTAGCTCCGTGTTCACTTCATCAAACCGATTGTTAAGCTCTTGAGCTAGCATATCAATCACGGAGTAGAACTACTCAACTCGATAATGGTGAAGATTGGTCATCTTTTCAATGTTGCGTCTCGGTCTTCCTCGAGTTGCATACACACCTTCTATATCCAATATAACTATGTCATATTTGCCACAAAACTTAGAAACTTCAGCCAGTAAATCATCCCAACTATTATCTCTGATGGCTTGCATGTGAGCTTTAGCGATTTAACAAGTTTCATCGCATTAACAATATCTTGATCCATTCTTTGAAGAACTTGAGACAACTCATGCGTGACTCCCAAAATTTTCATTATAAAATGTAAAGTAAAGATGAAATCCAACATATTCACAATCTCTAACAAATCAATGGCTTCAGCCCTTTGTGAATCACCATTTCCTCTTTCACCGATATACTCAAGAACAACAATAATAGATGAAAATATATACACCAAGTTTATGAGAGTACCGTAATGTGAACTCCAACGAGTGTCCCCCGGTCGCTTCAAAGTCATCTCCTGATTTAATCCTTTTCCCGTCTCAATCTCATTGCTTGCAATCCCCTCAATTATTTTCTCCTTTTGCTTTTCTCTAAGCATATCTCTACGCTTACAAGAACCTCCAACAATATTAGTTAAACGAGTAACAATATTGAAGAAAGAACCGACACTTGTATGCTTTTTAGCAACAGAAACGAGTGTGAGTTGGAGTTGGTGAGCAAAACAATGGACATAGTATGCGCTAGAATTATTCTTTAATATCAAACTTTTTAGTCCATTGAACTCACCTTTAATATTGCTCGCTCCATCATAACATTGTCCTCTTAAACTAGAAATACTCAGGCCATAAGTAGAGAACAAAGAACAAATACCTTGCTCGAGTGAAGTTGCAACTGCATCGCTAACATCAACCAAATCAAGATTGCGTTCAATAACACATCCACTCGCATTCACATAACGTATGACAACACCCATTTGCTCTTTCACTGAGATATCCCGACACTCATCAACTAAAATGGAGAAAAAATCATGTCCAAGATCTTCAATAATAGCATTTGTTGTCTCGATTGATGCCGCACTAATTATATCTTTTTGGATCGTAGGAGAAGTAAGTTTATGATTTTCAGGATCATTACCCAGCACAACATTATGTATTTCCTCATTACATGAAGCAAGAACTTTTAGGAGTTCAATAAAGTTCACTTGGTTTAATGATTCATATGGCTCATCATTCCCTCTAAAAGGTAGACCTTTCATAATGAGATAACGCCAGCAAACAATCGATGCATTCAATCTACAACGATAATCAATTTTTGATTGACTTGTTGCTTTTGAAAGAGACGCATCAATATGTTGAGCTTGATTCATCAAATTTTGGCAAGCAACTCTACATTTATGATGATCACTATTATGATTCGCAACATGATCTCTTAGTCTTTCCTTCTTCCGCCAATTATTAAATCCTCCAACTACAAAAGCATCGTGACCTCTTTCACTGCTCCGCAAAAAAAAAAAAAAAAAAA